AAAACAAAACAAACTTATGTTCTGGCTGAAGTGTTGAAGTGACAGGCCATACCTGCCCACACCGTGTTCTCGGAGCTCAGTTTGCGAGATCTGTGGCGTTATCTAGTCGGGCTCTTTCAGGATCAATTTTGGAAAAAAATATAAGATAAGGTAAGATATATTTTAAAGAATTCACATCATGGATTTTTGCTTGGTGTTTTTATTTTCCGTTGGCGGGGGGTGACAGAGACAAGCGAGGTCACATTTAGCAATTCAACGCGATGTGAGCACCTTCAGCCTACGGGGACGTTTGGCGACCAGGCGACGACACGGGCCGGTTTCACGCCCTCTGGGCGTTAGACCCGGAGAGTCGCTCTTGCCGAACCGTAGCGAGGGGTCACTGGTGGGACAGGACACCGGGAAACAGCCCCGGTGGGGAGGCCGGGTGTGTCGACAAGGACACCTGCCCCTTTGTGACGAAACGGAGTTGACTTTTGAAAAACGGCGCTTTCATTCTGTTCTCCGCCGTACTGTTTATACCGAGAATCCGCACGCGGGGCACAACACCGCGTTCGTTGCAACGTCACAAACCCGTTCTCGACTCTTCCACACCCGGGGTTCGTCGCCCACACTAGTCTGTCTTTGCAAGCCAACCAGCAGCACGGTCTCCACAAAACGTCCTTGTGTTCCTCTGTTCCATCCGTGTGATCGATTCTCCATCGTCTATGTGTTACCTGGGGCTCGAGCACCAACGGGGCGCCGCAGCCTCCTCTCTGTCTCGTCAAGCGACTCCGCTTGACTGTTTCTCTCCTCTCCCCTTTAACTCTCCTCTCTCCTCGGCTCTGAGAACTAGTGGGTTTCGGGACACCCCGCTCCCCGGAGGTCAGATCCGTGACACGACGTCTCGAAGTACAAGGCGCAGTCGCCCCCCCCCCAAGACAAAACGAGAGAACCGCGTACTGCCCGGAACGGAGACCCGTGACGTGCGTCAGCCGTCTGACAGAAAACGACCCGGCAAGACGCGTCGTAAACTCAGGTGTGACGGCTTCCACGGCGCGTGGCGCTGACAATGTAGGTAGTCAAGCAAAGTGAAGTCCACGTCGTTCATTTAATTTTCTTTGAGGGGGAGTGACGGGTACAGAAAAAAAAATACAACGGAAAGTTTTTTTGTGTGTGTGTGTGTGCAGCAGTGTGTTTTACCCACTTCGGGTGAAATATGCATCCACGCAGCATCTTGTCAGTCGTCTCGACCTGGCGTTAATTCTAAGTAAATGAGAACTGGCAAGATATCGGATTCCGGGAAGGATGTCCCCTCTCTGTCTGTCCCTAATGTCTTTATAGCGCTAAAATCCACTTATTGAAAGGCCTGTAACAGGCAAAGTTCACTCTTCGCTTTGCGATTGTGACGTCACCAAGTCCTCTTCGTCACTAACGAGGAATGTCAGGACTGAACGTTTTTAGTTTTAAATTTACAAACATTCCCCTCCTGGCAAAGAAAATATTAAGATATTCTTGCCGTTACGTATTAAAATATTATTTTTCGAAGGTAAATCCGGCCTTGACAGCCATCGAAATAAACTGTCCGCTTTTGTTTTCTTACATAAGACACATGAAGGCGCAGATCGAAACTATTTATAATAAATCTTACACACATCATTTATAAATAGTGTGCTGAAGACTTGATTTTTCAGTTGTCAGTCGGCTGCAGACTGAGAAGTTTACTGAAATACTTTCAAAGACCTCAGGAGACAGAACTTGTAGTCCAAAATATCCACTTCTGATATTTACGACCGAACGTTGACACATTTATAGCCATGCAGATAAAAACATTAACAGATACGATGCAATACACGGCACATAGTGTTTTCTATTTTCTTTTACTTGTTTAAAAATTGAAGATACGTAAAAAAAAATATTTATTGGAAACGAGCAAGCAAGATCTCCGTACGGGATAAATATAATTGGCAGAAAGGCGTTATGCTTTCTAATTGATATTATTGAAGCAAGTGATATAGTTTTTTTGTAGCAATAATTTATTTCATTTAATAAAAGAGCTTCGAATGGTACTGGATGTTGTTAAACACGAATCTCATATTTTAACAAAAAACGGTTCAAAATCAAACACTTTCTTTATACTTAAACCTCTGTTAACGTGTAAAGGAAGGCACACATTTTAGATAATTACTTTGCACACCCGTTTCAATTACTTTCTTGGAAATGAGCACAGAAATTAAAACTTAATCTCTTTCTCTCTCGGTGCCTGCAAAGAATAGGTTACTGAGCTCGATCAAGTTCACGCCGATTGTTTAAAGTGTTCTGGGTTCAATCACGCTTCAGCCTTTGCTCCAACACAAAGCTGGAATATATTGAATTGTGGAATGACACGGTTTAGTTTTGTCTTGTTTCATTCTATGTGGTCGGCCTCCACAAATCGTCCTGACTGGATTTTCATACGTTACTTTTGTCTGCCAGTGTATATAAACGTGGCTTGGATGCTGTGCGGAGATCTAGCAATGACTGGAAAAACGCGAAATTCGCGAATCTTTGCACCCTGGAGCGGGTTACAGCTGTTTTATTTTGTACCACGAGAGCTAAAGATGGTTCAAGACTGTGACCATGGAGTGACATGGTTTGCCATTCTTCTATCGATAACCTCCTGGCGTCGTGTCTGATTCTGCAGGTGCGCCCACGCGGGGCCTCCGAGGCCTCTCTGATCGCGGGTGGGGCCTTCGTGTCGATAAGACAGGGGAGACACTGGTGCGAGTGGTTATCTCTGTCCCCCAGCCAGCCAACCCAGAGTGTTCCCCCGCAGCATTACCGTGTCGGTAATGAGTGAACACCACCACCAATATTTTAATTAACCAATTAATTAAGCCATTTGTTTTCCTAACTGCTGCCGTTATTCCTAAATGGTGCGCAGTTCAATGCAGTGGGTGGCAGCTGTTGACGTTAGAAGAGGTGCCCCCCACCGGATTCAAACGGTGAGCCGGAGATATGTGATATGGCGTTTCACTGAGCAGAAGCCAGAATCAAACAAATAGATAAAAAAAAACACCAACTTCCGGCGGCGATTTTACATTTCCACGCAGGTAGATGGAAGTTATGATTTATTCTCGAACGATTGTTCTATCCAGATAGGTATCGATCTCTTCCTTTCGTGTTTTTTAAAGCAAAACCGTGCACGTATATGAAGCCATCACACCGTTGCAGCGCCAGCACTAGGTGTTGAACACGTGTTTTACAGAAATAAAAGCCCCATCACCTGCCCCGCGATCTTCTTCTTACCTGGTGTTTTGTGGTTCATCCAAACTCCCTCTCTCCTCGTCGCTGTCTCCACCTCCTCCTCCTCCTTCATCACACAAACACACCCGGGCCCTGTCTTCTTTCTTCTCTCTCCATTCTGAAGCCGGCGCGTCCACGCCACGATCTTTAATTATCCTCATGTCCAAAGTAAGGTCACAACCCCTGCGTCGCCAGACACCCGACCTACAAGTAAACACCCGATTGACTCTTCAAATATTTATCGGAAGCGTCACAAAACTGGAAGTCCCGGGGACCTCCTGTCCCGAGCTCGAGCCTATATATGTACTGGAACAGACCGGCAGGGTCCCAGGGAGCACGAGCCCTAGAATGCACTCGTGCAGGTAACACTCAACACGTTTTCCTGTCTCAGTAACCAAAAATCTTCAGAAGCCGGTATGCGCTTTTGGAAACCAATGAACCAAGCGAAAGAGTTTAGGGTTTTAGTAGATAGGCAAAGACTTATTGCTCATATGCTAGTCTCACCCCCGCCCCCATCCGCCTTTCCAGAAAAAGCTGTGAATACTGCATTACAGTGTATTATAGACGCTTTGGAGCTTTGTTTTTTTTTTGGGGGGGGGGAGTTCTAGTCTCAAACTCCCTCGAAATGTGACACTTTGTGGTATACCTCAGGCCCTGCTCCGAGGTCAATATGCAATATGTATACTTTAAATTCATGGCGTGTAGTAAGTCATGAAGTGTTTCCGAAGCAACGCCGCGAAGCTTTTTGGTTGGCCTTCATTCACGCTCCCTTCGGTGACATGACGTTTTAACAGGTATGAAAAGCCCATACAGTAGAACATTTACTTACTACAAGTCACCTCTCTGCTGCTGGGTGCCTGGCCCCGAGGACTCTCGCGGGCATGTCTGTAAGCGGGCACTGACCAGACAGCCTCGCTCTCGCTGTAAAGCACATGTCCGGTTTTCTGCTTCCTCTCCCTGATCTCATTTCTGTGCGGCAGGTTCAGTTCACGAGCTCACCTCCTGCCAGCCCTGGAAGATGGGGATTGACCCAAAAGACACACCCTGTGGAAATGCATTCTGAGGTTCTTTTTTTTTTTTGGAAAGGCAGGCTTTTGTAATTGTTTGCTTAGCGGAGTGCACACCTTTTTTAACATGTGAGAGGTCTACATATTTTTACACTGCATGACAACACACGCTGTGTTGACTTTTAACTCGCTGTCTGACTTTTTAGTAGCTGTGCGTTCTATCAGAGCCGGAGGGTTGTGTCTGTGTGCGTGTGGGAGGCAGTCATTACCCAGTGTATCGACAGTAACTATTTGTCTTATAATAATATCAATAATAATTTCTGTATTCTGGAATTTTTATATTTAAACCACTGTGTAAAATGTGCTAAATAAAATAAGAGTAATTTAACAAATGTCTGAAACCAAATTGTAAAATGTTTTGGGGGACCCTGTTACAACACAAAAAAATCTCTTGTGGAGTTAGAAAGTATACATTTTCAGAGGAGATACGCAGAACAGAGTGGTTTCTTCCTTCATAGCTGAATGAACCTTTTAAATTCGTGACAAGTCCGCGCACTTCGTATATTAGCATGTAAGTTGCTTAAAAACTGTACTCTAGGGAGCGTTTCTTTGTTGCTTAAACGAGAAATTCACAAGATCAAATTCTCAAAGACGTGGATATACAGCCATTTAATCCCTGTATAGTATAAAGTCTTTGCACATAATGTCTAATCCAAGCTTTGGGGCGTTGTTGTGAAAAATCACATATAGGAGACTAAATACAGTTCAAACGAGATAATTGCGTTTTAAACGGGCCTGGATTCTGTTACCGCAAACGCAGGGTCACTGTGTCAGAGCCTAAGTAATTCTCGCAGGAAATCGAGAATAAACCATTATCTTAACCTTTGAGCTCTGGGCCATTACGCCGAATTCAGAGCGATGTAACGTGTTAGAAAGCGCCATACTATGTTCTCGTATCCCTGTTACAGTGTTACAGTTTGGAGAAGCAAAAGGCGTCCCGTTTCCTAAAAAAAACTAGGAAGAAAAGTTTTGGTTTCTTGCCCGCTCAAATAAATCAGAATGGCAGATTAGGAACCCCATACAACTCTATTACTCGATCTTGATATACGACGGCACCATAAAGATGAGTTACACCCGCGTTCCTGTGGCACTTTCCAGTTGTAATATCGTAATTCACGCAACTTGGCTGCCGCACATATAATTTAGTGAGTGTAATTCCCATCGAAGGAAAAACAAACAACAACACAAGCAGTCAAGTGATGAATCCTAGATGGCTGTAAATATTACAGTAATAGTGTTGAATAGTATCTATCCCGTTTATATTGATGAAGAGGCCATTCAGGCATTGGTTTAACGTTTCAAAACTTTAATGCTATGACTAATGTGTGTATTGAACGTGATTGTGACTTTTGTTTTAGTTTTGCGAATATGCAATCTGATAAAAAGGGGAATTTGAAATTCGACGTATTATAGGATTGTTTGACATAATTGTGCGATGTGTCTGTTAGGATGTGACGCTGATTTCATAGGAGATCATACAACAGATTCAACTGAGTGTTTTCGGAGTGAAAAATAACATCTAATCAGATTTTCGGGTTTTTATATGAAAAAAACAGTGCTACAGGTACGCGCACTGAGGGCACAAAAAGGACAGCTAGAGATTTCTGGAAAGACGAACACGCCAGGAGTACAAAGCTTCACGCAGAAGAAATTGTGACCGGGCATTGACAATTATATTTAAAAGACATTCCACCTCTTAAAAACACAGACAGTATCAATCCGTTATTTAAAAAAAAACATCGAAAGTTTAGGCAAAACTACCACAGTGATAACGGCTACAGTACAAATCAACGCACAGCTATCAACTTATTTTTTGTTGATAGTTTTGATCACACATTAAACACCTGCATAGATTTATTACCAGAAATTCTTTAATTCGGTAAGTCAGTACCTTTATATAAAGAAAAGGTGAGAGGTAGATACAGCGAAATGGCTGTTCAAAAGAAACTTTCAGATCCTCGACATTTTTCTTTTTTCGCACATCTGAGTAAGACCCCCACATAATGAATCGTATTAGAATGCAACTTTCATGAGCATCAGATTTTGCAGAATCGTTTCTGTTGTATAGCGACCCTAGGCTTCTCTGCGCATGTGTGGGTCTGTCTCTCGACTGTTTACTAGTCTTCGTTACTATTCGTAACGTGCTCATTTACAGGCACTGAAGGATCTTAAACCGGGGTCCTAGACGGCTCGTTTTCGACCGGTTTGCCACAGATAACACCCGCAATCACCACCCCACCCCACCTCCAACACACTCCTTCTTTCTCCAGAACTGTGGTCATCATTGGCACATTTGGACTTTGCAGGTCCACTTCTGTTCGGAAACAAGACGGATGAACAAGCCGAGAGTTAAGGTCGAGCTCTGTACTCACATGCACGGGGACGCCTGTCACGCGCGAGCTTTAACACCGCGGAGAGCCCCATCCCGGCCCTCGGGTTTGCTGCTGAGTGCTACAGGGCTCCGACTAAGGACGGGCTTGTCCGCTAGTTCACCCCGTGCACTGTCTTTCCTTTTTGTTTTCGGGGGTCACCTCGGAGAGCCACAATGCGCCAACACGCATTGAGTTGCCTCCCATCTCCTGACTCATTAATATGCTCCCCCCCCCCCCCCACCAACCCCTCCCAGGAAAAAAAAATATCTACAAAGGGGGCACAGCGCTGACTGAGCCCGGTAACCTTTAGGATGGCGCGCACACACAGAAGGTACACGTTGAGAGAGACAGTCAGGTCATCGGGGTGCAAAGGTCAGGCAGGCCGGTTGAAATATGCCTAATGGGATAGAAAATGTGGCCTCCGCGTGACCTCGGCCTTCTCGCCGTTCGTCCGAAACTTCAATAAAGCACCTTTTCAGCCTCGCGACGTGGAGGCGACAGCACTTAGAAAGAGATCGCGGGGAAGCCTCGTTTTGTGGCCCGCACGATCATTTTTCTGCCCTGTCTGCCGATATAAAGCCTTGAGAACGCGGGTGTGAGACCCTGCTTTTTCAACTCTTCCCCCTCGAATGTCACGGCCAAGTGAGAGTGACACGGAGAAGGCGAGTGGATTGTGTTTGTGTGTGTGTGTGTGTTTTTTTTTAAATAATAGCCTCAGGAACACGAGAAAAGTCGCCTGGTTTTAAACCCATTCTAGTCGAAGCGGGGGCCGGGGCTGGTCCTTCTGTGCCGCACTAACCGGTGCCAATTCGAGGTGCAGAAACTCCACGAAATCGTTCAAAATCGAGGCCGCGCGTGATTAATGGTTCCAAATAGTTGTATCTTTTGTGTTTTAGCTCCTCCACCTAGGAAGCCGAAGTTGCACAATCTCATTTCATTCGCATACCTATTCTTAATTTATAAAGTTCTCACTGGATCCCTGCGGTCTTCCAGTGTCTTTTAACCGCATCCCTCAAAACGTGCTGGCGAACAACAACCACCCAGAGCTGCGCTGGTGCTCCGCGGATCACTGTTTACTTCATCTGAACTCGGGAAACTGCACTTTTTGAGTGAGGGCGGAAGAGACACTTTCACCCCCAAGAACAAGTATCACATACTGCTTTAGAAGAAATACACCATATGAACCGATAAAGACGGCAAGGCATTTATCATTTTACTTTATATCGGAAGAGCATTGAATTCGTCTTTGACGTATAAATTAATATAATGTGAGGCTCAGGCCATCTCCCTCTCCCAGACCGGCCTCGTGCTCTTGGAATTTTCTGCACAGTAGACTATAGAACCGCAGTAGCACGACACGCAGAAAACGGTGGAGAAATGGCCACAGAATTTAGGAATAGAAACGTGCAACTTGTCTGGAGCTGCTGACACAGCGAGTTCAAGGTTCAGATGACGTTCTGAGCCCGAGATTTATTTATTAAGCTGAAATATCGAGCTAGATTTCCCCCCGTAATAGCACCACTCATTCGGGTTTTTATCTCTACGAAGCTGAAGGCGATCAATGCGTCGGTAGCTGGGAGATTTGATTAAAAGAAATTAAGAAACAGGGGGAAGTAATTATCCGGATTTAAGAATCTTCTTTTCTCTTTTTTTTAATTCCCTTTTTACTTGTCTTGAAACACCATAAACCCAGGAGACAATTCCAACGAAAAAACACAAAGAAAAACCGCATATTGTAATTTGGACAAATTGATGAACGCTGCTGTGGAGGATGTTTAATCGTTGTTGTTGTTTTTTTTGTAGGCAGTCATGTTTTTGTTCTGTACATTTCAAAAGCTTGACAAGCGTCAAGTTTCGTTCAGTGCAGTTCTTGCTGTTCGAGTGTTACAAAACAAAAACATTTCTGGTTTTAACAGGTAGTTTTTGTAGTTCGGAATCAGTAAGGGTGACGAAATGACTTTCCACGATTAGTGGCCTTATAAATATTATTTTATTTCAATGAATAGGCAAGTGAATTCTGGTTGAATAAAAAATAACACGTACTTACAGCTAAACCTGTTAAGGATACGTTATCAGTACTTTATATAAACGACCACGGGGAGTTTACAAAATGTTAACCTCCCTGACCCCGTTGAAGGGTGCTTATTAAATATTAAGAAGAAAAGTCAACAACCACTTTTTAAAACGAACCAGCCATGATCTCCTGCACTGCCGAGGCCTGGACTATGGAGTCCTTCCCCGGCCAGTTAAAACAGTCAGAAAAGTGAACATGCCGGTTAGAGATACGACTTGGGTGATGTGTCTGAAGAGTATTGATTTTTTTTTTTGTACAGCGCATTCCGGCGAGGTTAAAAACAAAACGACACTAGCTGCAACTCTCGCTTCCCGAAGAATGACAACGCCTCATCGTGAAGGGCCTACATTATTAGCAGGGTATTCGAGCACACCTGAAAAAACGATTAGGAACGTCTACACGGTGTACTAGTTGCTTGCCTGTACGTTTTTACACGAAACGTCTGCTGCTCTTAATGAAATATGTATTTATCGCCGTAATATATATGTATTTATTTTGGCTGAGGATAGGCAACGGTGTCAGACTGCCACCCTTAAGGCCTCGCAGGTAACCAAGCAGAAAACGCCGTCTAGAAGGGTCTGCTTCTCAGAATCCCTTCCCAAGTCGCAGCAGTTGTACGAATTGATAATTCCACGATCTGGAAACACACAACAAGCAAAACAGAAACGCCGAGGAAGCGCCGCGCTCATCTTCGCTGTCACCAGGAAATAAATTCTGATCGTTATGGGAACGCGGACTTGACTGCATTGCACGCGTATGGTTTTGAATTTTATTTACGTGTCGTCTCCCAGCTCTATATTTATCTGGTAATCACACTCTAGGCTGGAGGACACATTCCACTGTACTAAATCGACTGGAGGCACATCGGCCTCTCTGTTAACGTTAAATCACACCGCCACCTAAAACCTCAACCCCAGGTTGTTAATTTCAACATCCTCTCTGTATATAACCCGCGCGTTCCCCTTTCTCTCGGCTGTTTTAACATTTTGTTTCTCGAATCCACGCCGATTGATCTTTCCTGTAGACCTCATTTGGTAAAAAAAACTAACCCTGAGGTACAATCAAGTCTGAAATGACACAGAGCACAGAGACTGTGGGCATTCGGTTGAGCAGATTAAAAATAAATGAAAATCACGCCAACCTGTTTAAAACTAATATTGACACTCACTGTTTTATTGACCACTATGAATATCACAATGACACTAAATTTCGTTTATTGTATTTCACAATGATCAGGTAAAATCAGCCTAAAACACAACGTCACCACAAAACTTACTACTTAACTTCTTTGTCTCGTTTTCTTTGTGTAATTACGCCAAATGACTCACAGTATTTTACCATCACCCTTAATTATATATTTTTTTTCAAACAGAAACAAGTACGTCCAAGATTCAGTGGATTTTTGTCATCATCTGGCTTTTTTTTCACATAAAATAGAAAAAGAAAAGTCTCTACAGTCGTTTGTTTTTCTTAAAATAAAAATAAATAGAACGACAATTGTGCATTTAACCTATTGGCACGGGCAGACATGGTGTCTGTGATACCCTTCCCGAACTAAAGCTTAAACAAAACCCACAAAAAACAGCGTCCTTCTTCCTCCTCCAACCATTTTTTAAAATCTTATTTTAAATAAATTAAACCCTGATGTAGCGTAAAAAAATCGGTAGGTATTCGCATTAATCCATGCTATATAACATGCAATTTTATATAACTGTGGACTCAAAGGAAGACCTCTCTTGCCATATTTTCTTCTTTTTACGCACAAGAAAACTACGAAGAACCAAAATATATATTATATTCTATAAATAATCAGTCATTTCTCTCTCTCCCTGTCTCCTCTCTTGTGTCGTTATCTGTTTTTATAACCTTGTAATATCCTCGCCTCGCTCCGCGGCGGAGACCCGGGTGAGTTCGTCGGCGGCCGCGACAGTGTTGGCGGCCGCGACAGTGTTGCCGGCCGGGGGGACCACGCCGGCGGCGGAGTTGGTGGTGGAGGAGCCGGCGGACGAGCCCGAGGAAGCCGAGGATCTGACTTTGGTGTTGGGGAGCCTGTGGTCTTTTTTCCACTTCATCCTCCGGTTCTGAAACCAGATTTTGATCTGCCTTTCGGAGAGAACCAAAGAGTGAGCGATCTCGATGCGTCTTCGCCGAGTTAGGTAGCGGTTATAGTGGAATTCTTTCTCCAATTCTAAAACCTGCTGTCGGGTGTAAGCAGTTCTGGACCGTTTGGGTTCCGCTCCATTGTAACTGGGGTTCACTAGAAAGGCAGAGACACAGAGGAAAGAAGGAGAAAAGGGGAAAGGGGGGGACGGGGGACGGAAGCAGAGACGGAGAAAAGGCATAAGAGTGGCATGAATCGAGATTTGAAAGGAAGAGGGGTTGTGAGACTAGGAGGGGGGTGGGGGGCGACCGTGTGTCTGTTTCTCTAGCATTAAACAACTCCGGCGCTTTACAACAACTCGCCTAACTATATCCTAATGAAGAGCACATTGGCGTTGAAAGAATCTCTGAATTATTTATGCAACGTTACAAAGCTGAGCTTTCTTTCCCCCTTCGCCCTCTCCTTTCTCTCTCTCCCCCTCTCGCTCTCCCTCTCCCTGCTCGCGCACACATACATAACAGGAAAAAAGCCACATGGCAACACGGCAGCCCAGACTAGTACCTCGGCTATAAAATTTATGGTGGGTGTAATTACCACTGCCGAGTCGTAAATCCGCCTCAATTGTGCTATTTCAAAAGCTCCTCTCCTATCGTAGCGGGAGCTGGTGAGCAGATAGGGGACAAAATGAGAAAAGAGAGAGGGAGGGAGAGAGAGAGGCAGAGAGAGTGAGTACGAAAAGACACACAAGTTGCCTACCGGTACTGACGTGAATTTTCTTCATCCATGGATAGACTACGGGTTGCTTGGAGGAGGCTGTGTTGTTGCTTGAATGCTCCGGTGTGGCTTGGCTGCAGGCGGAAGGCACAGCCGGCGGGGTTGAGGGGGACGTGGGCAGCGGTGGGGGCTCACAGGCAGCCGGCTGCGTCTTCCCAGCCAGCAGGTGCCCGGGATGAGGGAGCCCATGCCCTCTTTGGGTGTCGGGTTCTGGGATGCTTGCACAGTTAAACTGGCGCTCCTGGTAGCTCGCTCGCGGAGGATACAACTCCTGGTGATGATGCTGGTAGCCCGTGTCCCTCGTGCGGCTGTAATATTCGGGGCTGTGGTCGGGGATGTAGCTATTTTGCGAATATTCCTCGCATGGAGGAAATTTCGGATCGATGTAGTTAGAGTCCATCAAATACGAGCTCATGATCATTAATTTCTGGAGTGGAAAATAATTTTTCTAGCTTTGTCGTTTTTCTGCTCCATAAAGCCCTCCTACTAGCGAGCGACCCTGTAAAGTTACTTTTACCACGTGACACGGCGGGCCAATGAGAACGTGCAAGGTAGTCCCCGGATAAGGAACCGAAGGTTTATTCCAAATGTACCCTGTTTTTTTTTTTCTCCCCGTCGTGTTCGTGTGTTTGTGTGTGTGCGCGCCTGTGTGCGCGCGTGTGTCCCTGTGTAAGTGGGGCACCGACACCTTCTAATTGGGTTAACATAACGATATGAAAATTGAATTAATAAAACGTGCGACGCGATTGAGTGTCTTACTAGGTGGCGCGCCGGGCCAGCGGCTGTAGACGGCGAGGCGTCGAGGACTGGAGCAGGTACAGGTGACTTGACCAACTCTGGGGACTGCCGGAGACAAAAAGGAGCGTCTTTGATTGAAATGCGTAGGAAGGGAGAGAGATTTATCACTCCCATCACACCCACCCCGCTCACAGTCCTTGACACCAGCTCCAGTGGTCTGCCAAGCACCGTCTTCTAAAGACGGAAAGACAAAACAATAGAATTTCTCTTCTCCAGTTCGGACCTGCACTCGTGTCAATGGCGACACATTAACTTGGACATGACTCGTCCTCTCTTCCCCACCCCCTCCCAAAAAAAATCATCTGCACCCTCAAGTCTTCATCCTATAGCTTATTCCTTAATAATTTGAAGGGTCTGTTTTACATTAGTATGCCTGAGTGGTTTGGGTGAAGATCAACGCATTCGTCCAACGAGATTATACTGGAAAGAGAAGTAGGAGTCACCCACAGGCTTTGTCTGCGCGGGTTGGCATCATGTCATTCTCACAGGTGTATAGCATATGGGTGTGTGTGTGTGTGTGTTTGGGGGGGAGGTTGCTGGACTGTGTGTGCTGGGATGTCAGAAACCATGATAGTGTGGCGGTCCTTAGCACGACTCTGGCACGCTCCGTGTTCCTTGTGGTCCAAAATTAGAACAACGACAGGCATTCTAAATTAAGATATCACCAAAGGATGCATTAAAGGGGCTTAAATTAGGTTAAGCACGTCGTCAGTCCCCCTTGGTTTAGGGATGCTGAAGGCTAAACGCTATTAAAAACAATGCAAAAAATAAATAAATAAAAGTAAATTGCAATGCGAACGCAAACTGTGATAACGTACGCGTTGCTGCCAAGTATTAACCAACGCTCTTTAAACAGGTCCCATAATTAAACAATATCCGGGGATACGAGAGAGAAAAAAAATTGGAAAGAAAAAGAACTCTCGACACCAGCGCGTGCTGAGATTTTGCCAGCCGGCGATTCCCAGGATCAGGAAACAGAACCTCGTCGTTAACAGTTCCAAGTTCTAAATAATCGCCATCATTGATTTGTCATATTTTATTGGATTATAGTAAAAACGACACATAAAGTCGGCTGTTTATGGTTTATTTATTAGAGCGCGCGCGCCAGCGATGTCGAAGGCTTTTGGCTTTGATGTTCGCCGGGTTTTTTTTGTGTGTGTGTGTTTTATTGGGGCTGCGAGAAGCCCGTAAATCAATCTCTTCCAGCGATTCCCAGCTCCTTCGCCCGCTCCCTCGGCTTCCCCTCTCGCACGAGCACGGTCCCCAGCTCGCGCCTCTCTGCCGGGCTGATCGTTCTATGAGCTCGGGCCGCCGCAGTTGTTTAATTACAAAGAGAGAGAGAGAGAGAAAATAAAAGAACTCGGATTAATTTTGCCGATGCGGGTGAGGTGAACGTCGCGGAAGTACGAATTACAGAGCGCGGACGCAGGGATTTATTGAGTTCGCGCCTCCTTCTTGGTTGTTTTTTTTGGGAGTGTGTGTGAATTCAGAAGTGAAAAAAAAAGAATGAGACGCCCAAGCTGGAGTGAAATGGAGAAAAACCAAAAGCCAAGAGTTTAGACCATGTTCGTGCCACTGCGGTATTGGCATCGCCCATGTATTCCCCTAGAGACGAATTTGCGATTTTTGCTGCTCACACAAATTCGGTTCTACAGGGTACATATAGACGACTGATGAGGGTAGGAAAGTTGCTAGAAGCCTCCTTCTGTTTTGGGATGGAATGGGGGCTCATGAAGTTGAAGCAGAGAGAATGAGAGAGAGAGAGAGGTGAAACGGAAATCCTAGGTGCTGTAACATGTGTGCACTTTCCCGTCTCCTTAAGCGCCTCAAACTGTGTGTCCATTTGTGGCGAGCTTTTGTGTTGTGCGGGTTCATAGAGACCGATTCAACAATGGCTGCATCCCAGTACCCCTTCAGACCCACAGGGTTTAAAAATGTGGAATATGGGATCAACTGGAGTGTTAAACACGAGAAGTCAACACGAATATGTATTACTGCTACATTGTGTTTTCTTAATACAAAGTTGTTCATTTCTGACTGCGGAGCTTTCGCCCGATAATTTACAAACCCGAAAGTTCGAAAACCCAGTATAATTAGAGAAATTGGCATTTCAGTCCAATTCAATACTTTTTTAAGGGGTAAGAGAGAAAATGCAATATGCTTCCGATTCACAGTTTTTTAATGTTGAAATCAGAGATCTTCTCTGACGCCGTATTTACTGTTTATACACTCGATATTTAAATTCAGATACGAATGGACGCCGTTGAAGGACTAACCACCAGGATTATAAGATCTTCAAATTTCAATACATAAAATTGACACGGCAAATCTTAATTCGAAAACAACATCAGCAACTGGAATTGATGTGTTGATACAATTTAGCATAAAACTGAAAAGAAAATTAAATGTACATATTTTAATGTTCAAAACCACGTTACGGTGGGAAAAATGTTGGTATCCTTCGTGTTATTGATAAAGTGTTTACTTTACTTTCAGACCTTTACTTGAATCTAATATCACCTTACGTTGCGGTATCTGACTCAGACATTAAAACACTCGACAAAACAATAATCTCAGAAAAAAATCTGTAACAAAATGTAATCCTCGAGGAAACTCAGACCGCATGAAAAGAAAAAGATCAAGCCTCTATTTTAAAAATATTTGTTTTAAGACAATAACTCGTTTTATAACAGTTCACTTCACCCAAAAGTTTCAGAAAAGATAAAATAAAATATTTTAGGTATTTGAGTAGCGACGTACGTTCGTCAATAAAATCAACATTCAGTAGTACACCGTTGTTTAACACAATGAATTACTTGTTTTATTGTGTCGCATTATCTACAAAATTAATTTGAAAATTGTAGAACATTGGAGTGTTTTCATTGGAGTTGCAGCTCTACAAGCAACTGCGGAATTATTATTGGCGACGCCGATTGTGGTTTACACGAATGTAGTACAAAACCAATCAGAAGCAAAAGCAAAACAAAAATGAAAACAACCAAATAAGAAATGTTCTAGCAGACTGAAGGTAACAGGCTGTAAATTCAAGACGATTTTAAGATGTTGGTCGCTAACAACAGCCCTTTGACTTTTTAAGTCTTTCAAAAAGGCTGGAAATTTATTGCGCAAGTTCATTGCGTTGCAACCCGGACCTTACCAGCTTCGTTCAAAACATGAAAGTATTTGAGAGGTCTACACAAATAGTGCGAGGCGTTAATGTCAGCCTCCAATCAAATAAATTATACCAGAGCTAAAGACCTTGTGTCCTCTGAGGGCCTTAGTAACCTACAACGGCCTTTATCCCGCCGTTCCTAACACATTTAGCTCCAGTTTAGAAATGTTCATCAGAGCACGAGTGTCTGTGAATTTCAAGCACTCAGTCTGAGACGGGGGTGCAGCTTTCTTTTGCAATCATACACAAACAGGACGACCCCGCCAGTCCTCACCTCCGGGGCTATAAACATCACCCTAATCCAAATTAAGATGCTTAATACGTGAAATAAAAAATATATATTTTTTCTTTTTCTTGTGTTACGTGCAAGGGACACAGATTTTCACCAGCGTGTATGTGCTCGATACATGCTGATGTGCGTGCAACACACATGAAAGCAATAGGAAGAAAAAAAATAAATCAAAAGGCGAGCTATCGTCTTTAAAATCGAATCCAATCCCAACCTTCGGAGTGGCCTCCGATATATAAATATTCAGACAATATCTGCTTCGCCTCAGCGACACAAGCACGAGGGATACAATGCAGTCTCGTGACAGTAGAGAAGAGAAATAAGTTTCCATTGTTCCCCTGGGTTCATTGTGCTCGTCATTACCATGTTGACCGCCCGGTAACCCGTCCCTCCTCGCACAACACGCTGGCATATGGGACACAAACGGAGAATTGAGAGAAATCGGCCATTTTTTGGTGTGTGTGTGTGTTGAGGGTGTGTGACGGGTATACGTTTATCAGTTTTTCCAAAAGTGCAGGCAGAATATTTAAATTTGCACATAAACTGTATTTAATCCCCAGCAGGTAATAGATGTCACACGAGTTTGTTTGTTTTTTTTTCTCTCTCTCTCTCGCAACTCTATATGTGTCGTATTTTCGCGTGCACGGCCTGTTTTATGGTTTGGTCTTTTATGACATTTTGAAAGCGGTGGTTTAAAAGCGTTTCAGCAGTCCTTGTTTCGCTCCGGGTCATATTCGAGGGGACTCTGAACTCGTGGGCTTCCAGTCGCTTTTAGAAGCAGGAGAATGTTGAAGAACACCAATCGCCAACAACAACAATACATGTTTATTTAAAAAAAAAACAGCCTTGATTTTTTTTTCGTAGAGTTCATAAATGAATTATAATTGATCTCTCCTTCGCCTCTACCCTTCTTTTGTTTTCTTCGAGGTCCTGTTGTACTACGAGAATAATGAATCAAACTAAACTGATTTTATCATCTAAGTTGGTCCAGAATAGGCGCTGCGGTTATGCCGTTATGTCGACCTGATTACACTAATTGATGTGCTACGTTAACCGTCTTCTGATTATTTTTAAATCTCTGAACAATCCTTGCTAGTCCGAAATTGGGATTTGTGTGCGCGCATGTGTTTTTGGTAATTTTGCCCCATTTCAATTTCGATTGCAGCCTAAAATTACTGCCCCCCCCCCGCTAAGCGCTCGCATAAACGCGTATACTCACCGCCCCTTCAACTCCCCCTCCCCCTTTCTCGAAGTGAGCGCATTTTAATATTACTTAGACAGCGTGACCCGAATTTCACCTCTCTCGTTTGACTCATTCCAATAGTTCACTGCCAAGGAGTTATTGATGAGGAAACACCAATGAAATTTGTCTCCACACAAATGGCTTTTAGATCTTGTACCTAGTTCAATAACTAGTTATAATACAGAACTAGAAAAATGAAGCCCAGAGGCAAACTAATTTGATGTTTCATTTTTGTGTCTAAAAGTGATTCCCCCCCGTTTTTATTTCAGATTTTTGTTTTTGGACCTATTCCGTCCCCTCCGACAAATATTTGATTCCGTGGAAAGATATACCCCCCCCCC